TGAATATTATTACTCCTTTCGTATTAAATTATTCATAAATATCTTTTTTATAAAATTTATTTACTCTTTTCCTAACAATCCATTAAATTACGTAACCACTTGGGAGGTGTAGTGGGAAAGCAAACCTATGGGGGCTATGGAATATGAAATATGATAACTGCGCTTAGAAGTTAGATTCATTTAGGGGCATCGTTGTAATTTTATCCATCTGAATTAGAAGAATGGTCCTCAAAAGTGGAGACCGGTTGATTTTACCTTCTCAGTGCTCGCCTCACCAACGGGTAACGACTTTACCTGTCGACTCAGCTGTGCACAAATATTTGTTAAGACATTTAAAAAATTATATATAAAACTTATTAATACTATCTTATCATAATTTTAATATATTTTTATTATAAAGTTAAATGAAAAAATTATTCAATTTTCAAACTAAATATTATTTAATAACAACTGGTTTGTATAGTAACTATAATTACGTTATCATAGAATTTTCTTTTTTCTTTTCATAACACCAAGACTCTTAAATAAATGTGTACATAAAAAAATAATTAAAATTAATATAAAAATTGCTTAACATTCTTTAAATATGTATATTCTAATATTCTACTAAATAAGAAATGAGTTAAAATAAAAAATGGAAATACAATATGAAAAAATAGAAAATACAAGTGAATGAGATGAAAGAACATTAAAATTAAACAAGCATGACGTGAATAGCATATAATCCCATTGCTTGCTCGTAAAAATAGGAGAGAGTTTCATTATTCAATGGAAGATAAAATTAAAAAACGATGAATACGAAAATTTCAAAACGACAAAAGCATATGTGACGAGTCTTAACTGTGATGGAATATTTTTCTCAATCTCACCTGGAGCCACTCGTTCGCTTACTTGAGTTTAAACATTGGGTACAAGAGTTTTGTCCTATGTTACGCTATCATTTTAATACGTTGATTAATTTATACAAGTTAAGGACTAATGTGAAGGATTATTCTATCATATTATTATGGTTCTTTATACCGAATTTTGTACGCAACGTTGTCTTTATCATTATAATTATAATGTGGGTTGAGAAACAGTATGAGCCTACGAGGCTGTATATTTGGGGGAGAGCACATGGCGATTAGGTATAAGTCACGTGGGAGCCCCGATGATGAGACACGTTTGGGGAAAATCCAGTCAGCAAAAGCAGTTTTCCTCACACACCCGCGACCCTCGCATGAACATTCTCTCGCGCGACGCTTGGCGTGTTCATTGTGCCACCACGCACGTGCAGGCTTAGGCAACCACTGTTTTGTTCCTCATATAAAAGATGTAAATAAAAAACAACATACTTTTTAATATGATACCTTAATTTTATTACTTTATGTAAGATATAATTATTTATTTTATGAAGTAATTTATACAATACTTTTTACTTTTTCCAACAGTTATCTTTTTACTAATAATATACTTTTGATTTTCTTTACATAATTCTAGAGTATTATGTAAAAACTAATAAAAATATCTTACCCAAACTTATGCATATTTCTTCATAAAATGGGCTGACCCGTTGCACAAAAATATCATTTGGCTACGGGCTCGTGTTTCTCTCTCCAACTGTGAGTTTTCATGTTGATAACGTGATGGTGCAATACTAGATGGAAAAGAGAGATAACCACAACTGCAGAAATCACTATCGGATGTGGGACATGGGTGACTTGCGCAGTGTGTAACACAATAATAAATGAATCCAACTTGCAGTTGTGGTCTGCAACTCTAGGTTACACTTGCGTTTAAGAAACGATGGAGACGTTCCAAACAAAGTAAAAAAAGCTTCACATCAATTTATCTATCTTTCTCGCCTCACCTTTTTGATAATTAAATAAATTGTATTGTGGTTAAAGATTTTATTCCCCGCTACCATATTTTTACCATCCATTCGTACAATTTCTTTGTTAATTAGTCTACAAACACTTTAACACATTACCCCTAAAGAAGAATATTTGTCTCCTAGAGTAGACCACATGCATATCTTGAGTTAATTAAAATGTTGAAAAGCGGGTTGTTAAATGCAATAGATGTTATGATGCCACCAACCAATCAATCAAGCCATAGTCTGTATAAGAAGCGATTACTTTAACATTGGATTCTGAAAAGGTAAATTGGTAACGGATTAACAGTCAATGTCTTTGGCAAAGGCAAGGGTCCATTTTCAACATTTATTTGACCATAATTATACATGCAAAAAGGTGGTTCGAGTTTGGTTTGACTCAACCCCAAGAAAGGAGGAAAAGCTAAAAATATCAAAGCTTTCAGGGCTTGCGAGTCCAAAATTTGGACAGCACATGCAGAATGATCAAAGTTATATATACATCTTCTTATGGCGTCACCAGCAGATAGGAGAATCCTCTGCATATCGTAGTCGTGGAGACAAGTTGGTGAATGAGTAGGTGGGTGGCGGCAGAAAAAGAGCCGAGATTTTAATATGGTGTTGTTCCCTTAACATAAAGTAATTTAGTATGAAAACGAAAATGAAAAATTAATGCACTTTGTTTAGAAAAGAAAATATCACGGAAAACATTAATTAGAAGCATTGAATTAATAGAGGGAAAAAAATTATTAACGAAGAATAAAAGTGCAATAACTACATTTTTTTTCTATTCAACCTGTAGTTATCTATCTAAAAATTTGGAGTGTGTATTCACGTTTCATGAGCGTCTTCTTGAGACTCCAAGATCACAAAAGAAGAAACGGAACTTGCAAAAGACACTTAGATATACCTATATATATCAACATAAATATACGTATAGAAAATGATGGAATAGATTATGGTCCACAGCACGACCCTTATCATAATCGTCAAAAAGTTGAAGCAGAAAGGTGAGGGGAGCTTAAGGGAGAACAGTAAATCGAAGTCAAATCATGTTCATTAAACGATAAGAGAGTAATTTCAATTGCAATTATTTTGGACGCTTCACTAGTCAAGAGTATACACTATTTAATGCATATCACAATAATTGACTGGAACTTGAACAAGAGAAAGGCAACGTGGTGGACTTAACGCTCCACCAATAATCATTTCCGACAGTGTGTGCTTGCTTGGGGATGATTATTGCCAAAGGTTGTGTGAAGGTGAAAATGGGATCAACGGGGCTAAACGAAGGAAAGAAAGAGAACGACAATCAAGCTGATGATAATCACATATGATGAGACAACTAGACGCCTTTGTTCCCCATGTTTAATCATTGCTCAGACTATGGATATTCTTTTGGGATAAAATTTTGAACACAGTAAAGAATGATTATTAGTAAATCTCTGTTTATCCATAGAAATTGGTTCGAATGATAAACTATTTGATATTATTTAAGTAAAATTTTATGTTTAAATTTTTGTGTATACAATAAATCTTTAATAATAGTAAACTTAACTCTTCATTCAAATGCGCGATTAAGTTAAATATAGATTAAATCAGATAAAAATTCAAAAAAGATTAAGTTAGTTCAAGTAACCTAAAAAATTAAAAATAATGCAATATAATGTATTTTTCACTTTTATATATTATATAAAAATATTCTATAATTTTTTATATCTTAAAAAAAGTAATAGGATTTTATATTAGTTTTTATGATTAATATTACCGTATTATCTTATAATTCCTGATTTATTTCCATATTTGATATGAGTTATTAGAAGTTTAATATGTTTACAAATAAGAGTTAAAGTAATTAATTTTAATTATATCGATCATATCACATTAAAATACACTTAACGTATTATGTTATATATAATATCGCACGCACTCGAAACAGTTCTTCAAAGGAATCAAATTTCTTATTATTTGAATCAACATGATGGTCAATATATATGTTTTATCTTTGACAAATTACAACTGGAAAGACAAGATTTGAGGATTTAAAAAAATCAAGAATATAAAATTTATGAGCAACTACTCTATGAGTTATCAAGGGATATTTTTTTAAGTGATTAAAAAAATGTTATTTATAGTTTAAATCTTTACTTATAAATCAATTTATACCGTATAAAAGGGAAAGTTGGAGCATTGTTGTTAAATCTTGTGAAATTCATACACATTCTACACAAAATATAGAATTTAAAAATCCACTGCCAGTTGTTAACTAATTTGTTTTAACAAGACACTTTGATAGACTAGTTTTTTTCCCGTTGGCATATATACCCAACACTCACATATGCATAACATCACAAGTTTATTCTCACTACTGCCCAACACTTCCTAGACCTTTCCATATTTGATTAACCTATCCTGTCATCATCTTTCCTCTTCAATGTCTTTTTTTTTTTGTTTTCATTTTTTTACCTCAAGCTTCTGAATTATTTGATAAAGGGTATAATTTTGGTCCGTCCTATGATATTCAAGCTATCAAAAGTGGAATAAAATCACGACCTTCATTAACTAACTTATGAAAATAAATCTTCTATCTTTTCTTGATATCATCCTCCACAACTAAAACATCACCTTCTTCGTTTTTATAGTATTTTACTTGGTCCAAAACTCCTAATTTATGTTATATTCTTGAAACACATACAACTCATAGTATTATCCAATAAATTACAAATTCAATAAATTTAAAAAAATTAAAATTTTAATGTACATAATACTGAAGTAAAAAATTTGTGATTATAAAAACATATCTAAAAATAAAATTTAAAACTTGTCAATATATCTTAAAATTCTTCTGTTTTTTGTTTGTTTGTTGAATCTGGATTAGACCAAAAGGGGAAAATGCATGAGGCCCAGTGGCTACAAACATAACAGTTTTGGGCCTGGGTTGATTCTAGGCCTTGTTTTAGGACAGTAATTTTGGGTTGGGCCGTTCATAGGCCTCTGAGTTTAAGGGTGAGAGCATAGCAGAACAGCTATTAGATGTCCGAGTCGAGGGGCGAGGGTGAGGAGCAGGGAGCAGTTAGAAAGTGAGAAGAGGAGAAGGCGTAGCAGTGCAGAAAAATGCGGTTGTTCGATCCATGGCCTGTTTTCTTCAAGCGTGAATGGAAGCGTAACTGGCCCTTCTTGGCTGGATTCGCCATCACCGGAACCCTAATCACCAAGTTTTCCCTGGGTCTCTCTGGTAAATCCACCTCCATCTCGATTCCTTTTTTTTAGCTTTAATTTTTGTTCTGATTCTGATTTCCATCGCGCTTTTTTTCCCGGCAGAAGAGGATGCCAAAAAATCAAAATTCGTTCAGGCGCACAAGAGGTAATGTTCCACTCACCAAACCCTAGCTGCTTTTTTTTCACGCTTCTTTGTCTTTGTTCTGTTTGATGTGAATATGCTTCTCGGAGTTGAAATTTGAGATTGGATCTCACTGGAATTTAGGACTTATATCCGGGACAGTAGCTGGTTATTCGTGTGCAGCAAATCCGACATTGAAAATTTTTTATTTTGTTTTATTTTTCCTGAGCAACCGATAGGGTGGAACTGGAATTTTTGTGCCAAAAGAGGATCGATAGTTGAAACTTTTGATATTTTGCTCCGTGTAGGCACGATATTTGTTAAATTGACATGGTTGATTTGAGTAATTGTTGTTGTATCATTTGATACTTCACATATGGCCATTTAAGCATTTCAAAGCCCTTGAAGTTCATTTTCCACGGCGTTCATGGTCCCATTTCTGTATCGGCTCCATTGCCGTCTAATCTCAGCTCTTGTTCTTGTTGTGGCCTTAATGATACAATGGAAGTTTGATGGAACTTAAGCTTGATTGTAATTTGAGTCTTATTATGTAGGGCATGCAATTTTCATGCTGATTGATGCAAGTTATTTAATTGATGGCCATCTTAAGTTGTTAATGTCTCTGACATAATTTGCATGAAAATCAAAGTATGGTATTATTTCGGTTTCAGGGATCATGAAGTGTTTTACATTTGAAATTATCTGATGATGATCTAGGAATCGCTTTGCAATAATATGAATAATTTTGTATTTGATTGTGTTTGCTTAATCATTATTTTCACTTTAACTGAGGAACTGATTAATGACTATCTCTTTGAACTTTATAGACTTTGATTTATTATCTGCTTGTCTGAAATCTTAACAATTGTTAATCTAGTCATCTCTCATTCATGTCTGTGTGTACATATTTCTACATCCTGTTAGTAGGACATTATCCTTTTCCTATTTTTTCAGGTGAATTTGGAATGGGAGATTTGCACTTGCTTTGCACATTGCATTAGATGTGTCAGAACTTTGCTTGTTTTACTCTTACAAATTGTAATAAAAGAGAGATGTATACATTCTCACCATGATTCTATTTCTATTTCGGCTGTTTACTTAAATGTCCTTGAGAAATTCATACTAAGTTGTTCTGTTCAGTGGATCCACTTTAATATGACTTTGATGTGATAATATTGTGTTTGTTTTTGCAATAATGCCAATTTGCTAACCAGAGGGAAAATAGTTGTGTTAATCATGTTTTTATGGCCTTTGGGTGTTTTGTTAGGCAGCATTTTCTTAGTGATATAGTTTATCTGAAACCAATTTATATCATGAGTGCATATGCCGAGCATTCTGTTCTCAACATTTCATCAACTTATCTATTTATTATGTGCTTACATTTCATCCAAGATGATGGGGGTATCCGTATCCATGCGAGAGAGACATCGGACATGGAATGTAGAATCAAATTCACAACATTAAAGCACGATAGACAATTGCTTGGATTCAATATGGGTAGATGTGAGCAAAGGATTTTAATTTTCAAATTTATTTAGGCTTATTTTTTATTATGAATTATTTGCCAATTATCTAGATGCATATAGTTGAGTTCAGCTCAAGCTTTGAAAATCAAAGTAGCACGTATCGTGAGTATGGTTTCTGTTCTATGAATGTAAACATAGTGGAGATTGTAAGTTGTTATCGTGGAGAAGCATTGATTTTTGGAGTATGTTTGTTTTTCTTTTTAAAAAACAGTTTTCTATTTTTAAAAATAAATGGTAATATAGATTTATGTTATTTTTTATTTTTAAAAACAGAAAACTGTTTTTAATAAGGAAAACAAACATACCTTAATTTTTTGTATTTTTGTATGGGTGGGGATAGTTGGCCTGTGAACTCTTCACTCATCCCTTGGGATTTTGTTGTGCGCCATATTTAGTTATTTTGGTTGCTTGTTCTGACCAATTGTGTTGCTAGAGCCGCACCCGAGGCTAAGGCTTTCTTACTTCTAGCTGGCTGATCTAGTTTAGATTCTGTTGACATTAGGTGTAAGTTTAAAAGATTTATAAGATACTTAAAAAGTATATAAAAAAAATAATAAAAAAAAAATTTAAATGGTTAAATTATTTGATTTGTATAAATTTTTTAAATTTACATTCAGAATCAGTGGATCTTATTATATATATATATATATATCCTAAATGATAGGTTTTGAAATTATGATATATGATATGACTAAGATATAAGATATATAAATTGACATAGCATTAACCTAAAATTGGACTTTGCAGGATTTGAACACCATTTTTAGATCAAATTGAAATTTAATAACTAAAGCTTATCGCCTTCATTAGGCCTACTTGATTTGGTTGGTAGCCTGCTTCCTTAGCTCTAAATCATTGTAATATTTTTTGGGTTAATGAATCATTTTAAAAAAAATAAAAGATTATATGATATATAAACTAAAAGTATAAAAAAATATATTATAAGATTTACAAACTGAAAGTATTAAAAAGAAATTGTCTATGATACATGTCGGATAGTGGTGTAACTATTATTAAGAAGAGTTTAATTTTGATTCATATGTAGCCAATATACTCAGTAAATTCTTAAAATTATTTAGTATTTATTAAGTAATAACTAATAAGATTACTAGAAGGTTACAAAGTAATTTTACATTACAACAGCTTTGGTTTAAATACTGTGAATATATATTTTTCTTAAAAAAAAATAACTTTTGACTAGAAAATAGTTTAAGTGTTTGATTTTTGAAAGAAATATAAACATCCAAATGTAAAAAAACTATTTTACTCTTTAATTTGGGAAATACAGCGTCGTAATTCCGCTTAGAAATTAAAAGAAAATGAAACCAGAAAATCAATATGGCATTGGGAGTAGGTGGTGGCGCTCGTAGGCCAGAGAGACTAAGACTATATTATTAAAAGAAGCATGATAGGAAAATAAAAAACATATTTAGCTAACGTTTGGGGACAAAACTCTCACGACATTATGGTCATCACTGCCGAAAATTGTTGCCTCCTTGTTGTATTATTGGGCTGAGGGAAAAAGTCCGAAATATCTATCGCCTAATTTCTGTTTATGAGTATAGTTATTCTCATAATTGCAAGATCTGAACAAAAAAAAGATGCAACCTTGGTTTAAAGTTATCGTCCTTTAAGCCGTCCATAATAAACAAAGAAACAGATAAGCTCATAAATTAATTACGACACTCTATATGCCATAGGGGGTGGCAATTGGAGATGTGTTTTGTGGCTACTCATACATCATATTCTTGGACAAAACCGACGAGTTGCAATTGGAAATTATATTAGTGTTTCATGTTGAATTGATAAGCTAGGGCAGGTTTGTTATTACTATTATTTTAAGCAAATCAAATTATCTCTTCTACATTATTACAAGCAATGAGTGGAAATGACAGATGCTTAAGAATTCATATCAAACCAACTGAAACCCACCTTTTCCCACATTACCTGCTTAAATTTCAAGTAACTCTTAACAAATCATTCAACATTTTCACACACACACACAACAAATGCTTACGTTGTCTGTCCCTCTGCCTCTGATATCGCAGTCAAAGATCCAAAAAGAAAACTACTGAAACTCGTAGAGTATTAAAACTTATGATTTTACGTAACAAAGTTATATGGTCGTTAATTGACATCAAGTGACCTCAACCTATGGACACAAAAGTGATAAAATTATCCATCAGTGACAGAATATACATGGCAATATTACAGCGGCGCCACTTTACATATTTCCTGCTCAGAGCAACGTTTTAAAGGATTAATCTTCATGCTTGGAATGATCACATTCATGGAAAACAACTTTGTCATACCTCCAACATTACGACCAAATAAGAGCCAATCATTTCCTGGGCCATGCCCTACCTTTTAAATCTGGAGCTGGCTTGAAAATAATTCACCAATATCTCACGTTTGTTAGGATCATTATTCATTATACCTAGCTCTTCTCTCATCATCTCCACCAAGCACGTGGTCTTCATTGTAATTTACTTTCTGGTAAAAAAATTAGAAAAGATAAATTACTATTTGAATCATTTGATTTTTTTCAAAGGTCTTGTTAGGATGCATTAAAAAAAATATAGGAGTGTATTTTTACATTTTTTAACAAAATATTTTTATCTTTTATTTCTTAACCAGTATCCCTTTCTTTAAAACGTGAAAATTTAATAGAGAAACATGCAAAAACCATTGTATCTATAGATTACATGCATCTAAGGGTTTAATATGCATTAAAAATAATGAAAAATAGTGTCATCAATAATATTTGATAATAAAAATTTTGTGCTTATAATTATTTAACCAATGTCCTTACAGTAAAAGTTAGCATAAAATCAATTGAGGACACTAACACCACCAAATCAAGCAACATTTTAAGAAAAGTAAAACGAACTCATTTTCAATGAAACTTGTGTAGTTTTAGTAATAATGAATCCCTGGCAACAGCAATGAGCCGGTCCACATCACCGGCCAGTAAATTAAAATTCAAAGAGTCGGTTAATTGGGTCCAAAAGGTTGGACATTGATTGAAGGACCTGTGATTAGTGCTTGGTCGGTGATTAGTGATTGGTCCACATCATGTTGTACACGTGGCACCACACCCTAAACAATAGAGGGGTGGCAAAGAGTTTGAATTTTCTTTGATGCCTTGTCCTTTGTCCCTCCCTCGTACCCCGATAACTCTAGTGTTGTGTAGTATATAATACATCCATAACCATTTACCAAAAGTTCATAGCAAAACATAAAATAACAACTAGAATTAAGGCATTCGCTTTTACTCTAAGCTGGAAACTGTCTTAGACAAGAGAGAGGGAAAATAAGAAGATGCCGATTTCCAACATTGCCATCGGAAATTCTTCGGAATTCCGCCAAGCCGATGCGCTTAAGGCTGCCCTTGCTGAGTTCATCTCAATGCTCATCTTTGTTTTTGCTGGAGAAGGCTGTGGCATGGCTTATAGTAAGCCCTTTCAATTTGTGTATTTAAAAACATGATGAATTCTTGCTAATTTTAACATGAATCTAAACACATGATTTTCATCATCTAAAAATGATTTTTTTAATAAAATATTAATGATTTCAAAATTAATATTTTATTTATGTATTTAACTCTGCATTGGTTGAACATGCAGTAATAACGTACTGTGTGACCTCTTTTATGCCTTGGCAGATAAATTAACAAACAATGGTTCAGCAACAGCATCTGGGTTAGTAGCAGCGTCTTTGTCACATGCCTTTGCACTTTTTGTGGCGGTCTCTGTTGGTGCTAACATTTCTGGAGGTCATGTCAACCCTGCTGTCACATTCGGTGCCTTTGTTGGTGGCCACATTACTCTCTTTAGAAGCATTTTGTACTGGATTGCTCAGTTGCTTGGCTCTGTGGTTGCATGCTTGCTCCTTAAATTTGCCACTGGAGGATTGGTAACACTTACCATTACACAACATCATTATGACCTTGCCCTTTTTAGCTTTTTGCTAAATTTTTTTATTAAATATATGTCTTTTGTTTGTTACATTAACGTTGTAGGAAACATCTGCATTTGCACTGTCCTCTGGGGTGGGTGCTGCCAATGCACTAGTGTTCGAGATCGTGATGACTTTTGGTTTGGTTTACACTGTGTATGCAACTGCAGTGGACCCAAAGAAGGGTGACCTTGGGATTATTGCTCCAATTGCAATTGGTTTCATAGTTGGTGCTAACATCTTGGCCGGTGGTGCATTTGATGGTGCATCCATGAACCCTGCTGTTTCTTTTGGGCCTGCTGTTGTAAGCTGGACATGGGCTAATCACTGGGTCTATTGGGTCGGCCCATTCATTGGTTCTGCTATTGCTGCTCTTATCTACCAATTTTTCTTCATTAGCCCAAATACTTATCAACAGCTCCCCACCACTGATTATTAGAGCTAATTTTAAACAAACTCCTCACTTTTTCAATTGAAAGTGGGTTGGGTTTTTCTAGCTTCGTTTGTAGTCTATGTTCTATGTTTATTATCTTCAATTTGCTTCATTGTTAGTTTTAAATGTTGATTTCCGTGAATTTTGTTCAGTTTTGTAACATCTCTTTTTAAATGTGTTCATTTCTTCTTCTAAACTACGAAGTGTTAGCCAAACTTTATCGTTGGGTAAAATCATTTAGGACCCTCTACGTGAAAGAATTAAAATAAATAAAGCTTCGAAAGAGAAGAAAATCGATGCACTTGACAGAGGCTTAGGCCTTTGTCGGTTTTTCCAAGGAACACCACACTAAACAATGCAAATTAATGAATGCAAAGCGCCGATTTTTCAAAAGAAGAAGTGAAAGAAAATAAAAATGCCTGTGCGGATGTTCAATAAAAAAATTAGTTACCGTCAACCAACATATTTTTCAAATAATACATGCTTAATCTCCTTAAGCAAAGTTTCAAAATTGGAATGGAATCATACAACTATAGATGATCAAAATTTAAAGTTAATATACCTCATAAATAGATAAAGTATGAATAAATATTATAAAGTGACTAATATGAAGAGTAAAAAAGTAATACATTGACTATTATTTCTTATTTAAAGTAAACTAAATTTATAAAATAATTCAATTTAAATCAACAGTATAAATATACCATTATTTGCCTACTTCATATATTTTCTTAGCAGAAGACCTGAATCCATAAAGCAACAAGCTTATATACTCCAAAAGAAAGTATTTTATTAACTATATTTTTAAATTTTCTGTGAACTTTTGTACTTGGTTCAGAGAACTCGATCGAAACCAAAAAATTATTAACTCTTGATTTTTTTTAAAAATGGTTTATTTTTTATATAAAACAATAATTAAAATAAATATTTTATAAAATTAATGGCTGATAAAATATTTTTAAAATTTTAAAGATAAAAATGCTTGACTTATATAATAGGAAAGATTAATTTTTAAAAAAATATTTATTTAAAAGAATCTGAGATCAGTGATCCAAGAATAACAATATTCCATTGAATTGAAAACATAACGTGAATATCTAATCGGTAATCACCTGAATGTCTCGTATCTTTCTTATCTGACAAATGATCACGATTGTATAACAAATATATATTATATATCCGTGCAATTTATGGAATTCTAAAAATATTAAGATAAAAAAATATTAAATTTAACTTCAATGATTCATTGATAATAATTTAAAAAAACAAATATATCAATCTCAAATTGTTAATTTTAAATGTTTTAGAACTAATCATTTAAAATGCATAAATTAAAGATATTATATTATACTTAATATTTCAAATATGAAATTTAAGACTATCAAACTGGACCAAGTTAATTAGTGGATTAGTTTGAAAAATAACCCGACATAAATAGCGGGTAGAATTTTTAATATGCAAATTCGATCTTAATTTATCTCAGTTTAATTCTGCTAAAAAGTTGTCCTTTTAGCATGCATAATTAGAGATCAAAAAAGAAAAAATTGTTATTTTCCTAAGGTTGAAAATTCAGCCCCCACAATTTATTATTGCATTTTGTCTCATTGCTTTGCGAAGCATGGCTTATTCTTAAGCATCCAAATCAGCAAATGTCTATTTTGGCCACGTGACAGCACATGCATCTTATCTTATCTGGTTGATCTGAATGATACGCATGTCATGATTTTGATCGAAGAGGGTGCATAGACTATTCATGCATATTCTTGTATATCTACTAATATAAAAAACGAAAGAGCTATATTGGTAGAAGTGTAGATCAGATTGAAACTTAATCAGATGCAAACAAGTGCTTGATATTTTACATTCAAACATACCAACTCGCTATCCTATTGGATGTCTTTGAAAGTAAAAGCACTTAAACATTGAGATAGACTACAGTTATGCTCGAGATTTATTACAGCTGGGTCACACTAACGGAGAACCCTGCCAAAAGCTTAAAGATGCAATGCTATACATGTTAGACTTACATTCTTAATACAAGTGGCACACATATGATATGAACAAAATATTGATTGGAAAAAGAATCCTCATTAATTAGCCGGTTAGAAATGCACTGTCTTGTGCATAGCAAGAAAAATATGGGTCATTCATCGGAAAAAACATGCTTTCTTCATCCATCACCCATAGAGGGTCTGAAGAATACTCCCATGATGATGGAGAAGGAACTCGTGGACAAGAGAAGTTGCAACCCTCTTCACTGTGCCCATCATACACTGGCTGCAGAATCTTCTCTTCTGACATATCAATATCTTTCCATATATCATCCATGGTGATGAATCCTTGTTGAACCTCTCCTATCTTAACTTGGGTTGAACCTATGAGACAAGGACCACCCGTGTCATAAAAGCTTTCTTCCCCGGCTTTTTTGGAAGCATGTGAATCCACTGCATGATTGTTTGAGGATTCTGATGACGAATGAACACTAGAAGCTTCTCCTCGCTTTTTGTCTTGAGCCTTCTTCCTCATCAGAGTTCTCCAATAATTCTTAATCTCATTGTCTGTGCGCCCTGGTAATTTCCTAGCAATTCTTGACCATCTGCATGTCTCAAAGTAACTCTTATTAGATTTGAAATAAAGGGTGAATAATTAAAAAAAAAAGAATATATATTATATTATATAATTAAGAAGCATATATATATATATATAAGAAAACAACATATATGTGTATGCATATACATATGTTGCCAAATGAATTAACCTATTTCCCCATTTAGCGTGAAGGTCCAAGACGAGGCGCTCTTCCTGGGGTGTCATCTTCCCACGTTTGAGACCAGGATGAAGGTAATTAACCCAACGTAACCTGCAACTTTTACCTGTTCTATTCAAACCTACAACAAAATGAGGTGGTTAAAGGGCGCTTCTTCCATGCATAATCTATTGTATTATTGCCTAATAGTAGTGTCTCCCTCCACCTTCAAACCTGATACCTTAGCTAAAAAGTCCCATCTACGGTCTCCGAGCAAGCCCACAAAGGAGACCAATTTCAAGTCTTCCTGTTCTGTCCATGGCCCTTTACGCACTTCCTGTTGAACCATTTTCCAATATTTTCTCTCAAGGGAAGTTGATCTCTCATGCACCCAACACCATCATTTATATACGCCTCCTCATTGTCTTTTTGTTTATCAAATATTAACAAGTGTCCCCCCCTAAATAATTTCATATATTTCTAATAAAAAATTATTTTATTTTCTTAAATAGAAATTATCAGGGCTTTTTATTTTATAATTAGTATTTTTTTTTTATAGATTACACGGTTATTATTAATTTAAAATAAAATCTTAAAATATATTATATAAATATTTTATTATGTTAATTAAAATTAAAGTAAAGAGATAAAATTTTTGAAATATAAAAAATAAACTATAAAATTTAAAATATAAATTAAGATTAAACTAAAAAAATAACACTTTAAATACTCTCTCGTTTAAAATAACTCTTAAAAATATTTCAGTTTAACAGTTGAGATAGATAAGCAATTTCGCATATCCACCGTTCATGGGTGGTCCGCGTGGTCATTCGGTCAATTGCTAGTTCCTAGGCCCAATGTCATTCGGAGGATGACGTCATCCATTACATGGAAATAATCAGAGTAATCGATCAATCTGTCGATGTAACTCTCAGGAATTTTATTTTATTTTCTGTACCCATTCACACTGCTTAATTAATATTGTTTTTAGTGACTTGAGCATTTGTGATGAAACAAAGTCACTACGTTGGATTGAACTTATCAGACAGATGTTTGTAATCTCCTGTTCCACTCTCCACTGCTTTATCGCCATGACAATTTTTTCTATTTAATTAATGGTATCTTGAACTCGGAAGAGATGAAGTTTTCTTGTAGGTGCTTCAAAGCTAACACAAGTTCAGACTAAGCGACAGAATTTGTGTAATATATTTTATTTATATATTTTTGCATATAATTATCCTTTATGAATAGTCCTAAGCATTTATTATCATATAAAATAATAAGGCTTTTTTTTTTGTCTTTAACATTTTATTGGGGGTAGCTAAAACCCTCTCTAAAATTATAATTCCAGAATACAAGTTACTAAAGTGGATGAAACCATGCAACGTGAGCGAAAAAAATTAAGAAAAATTAGCTTGACTTTAAAAAAATGGCACTTGCAATGCATGTGTGAAATCTGGATTGGAGAAATAATCAATGGTATTGAGTTCGAATGATTTGTTTCCAAATGCGTGATATTTTGCATGATACCGAAACTCAAAACTTGAATGGGTGAGGGAATTAAGTTAACGAAGTAACCATGAACCTTCTTGAAAACTTTGATGCATACTGTGTTGTGTCCCTTGACTACTGCAAAGGCCGGGGCAGAAAACATAAGAGAAAGTAGAAGGGACAAAACTTTGAAGAATATAGGAGGAAATCGTTAAGATGTTTTACAGGCAACCTTTTTCTCTCAAATATAATAATGAAAATGGATTGATATATTAATATGGAAACTATTGTTAGACAAATCTAAGCATCCATAGTTTGTGTGTGGTGCCCCCAGCAGCGGTAGTGTGGTATTATGTCGGGCCAGTTTAGGTTATTAAATAATAGGATATTCCAAGTTGATGGATGCGCCAAATGAAGTTATCTTCAATAAATATTAATGGGTTGATTTCAATTAGGCATCTATAGACAAGATGTGCTACGTGTACACCTTTTGTGTTTGCAAAAATATAGTAAATTCTCGGGCACTTAACTTTCACGCAAATTATTCAATAATATGGTAATTTAACTGTAACTTTTCAAAATAGTAAAATTGATAAAATTCAATGGTTATAAAATTAGAAAAAAAATACTCTTAAAATATTTAATCTCTACTTAGAAATATATATATATAAAGAGAGAGAAAAAATGTTAGGGGGGATAGATGCCCCCGTAAGACTGTGTGAACAAGTCTATCCCTAGTTCCAGACTAACTTATCATCCAAATTAGGTTCATTCGAAGCAAGGATCTGCTCCAAGATTCATGCCAGGAACTATAAAAGAAATATTTATTCATAAATAAAAATTATCAAATAGTAAAATAAATTTTATTAAAAATATACGCTATTAGAGATTATTTTAATATTAAATTATTAATAAATAATATTGTTTTTTGTAATGTACAAATGGTACCTTATTTGGCCTTCTATTGGAAATGCTTTTGGCGTCAAGAGGCAAAGCTCGACTTCTATCTCATAATTTTTGGTATGTTTAGTTTCGCGTTAAACACACACGTGCGTCCAAATTATACTGTGATGATCACTTGCACCGTAATGTACTAAGATCCTAGTACATAATCTATATATTCTCCTAGTATTATTCTACATGAATATAGTGTCTTTTAGGAATAGCTATCCCCATTAAAACATCTCCTACACAACTCGGTTTTAATCCACTAAAGTAGAACCAAAGAACGGTGGATCATCCAAACTATTGCCATGATATTCAAAACCTCCTTTTGTAATGGACTAATTAAACACTCCAAGGGATGATGTAATGTAATGCTCAAAAATATTTACAATGCAACAAACTCAACAAAGTAAGCAAAAATAGATAAATTGAAAATATTTATCATATATATGTAATTAAAAAACCTACACTTTATCATATATTCGTTTGAATAATTAAATGACATCATACCAATAGTTGGTGGTGAATATTAAATTTAAAAACGTGTATGAGAACTATACAATACCTGTTATCATATTAACATTTTCTTTATATATATATATATACTATGAAAGAGTACTACTGATGTTGGTGCCCCACAAAAAGAAATAATCATTCTTCATTGAAATACAATAGGAAGTATTGAGAATCGATATGAGAAAATGCTATTAATATATACTTCAAGAAATAACAACTTCATAAGCAAAATTTTTTAACCAAGTTGGCGATAATTTCTTTCATAATAATGACATATAGATAAATGATTAAGCAATTCAAAAAATATTTAATTTAATTTTGGGTACTGGACCACTTAGAATTAGTGGCGGCTTTGACAGTGTCTTTACCATTAATTACCACACATTTCAAAGATTCGATGAGGTGAACAACTAAAAATTTGCTGGAAATTCCTAAAACCAAGTTAAAACCAATATCATTTGACATTGGATCCTTGCTAATCAATCATTCAATCCAACTATATATATACATGTGAAAAAGTAAGTATAGCCCGATATGTAGCTTTTTTGGCTTTGGTGATTATTCCAGGCAAAATTTGAGTGAACATGATTTTGTAGAAAGATCCAAAATAGGTCGCACTCAGTGTAGTGGAGGAGCAAACTAACTAACAATGAATTCATTGAATTCTAATTGGATATAGAATTCAGGCCTGCTGGCCTGTTTCTATGTGATTCGAAAGATGCTACAGATATGAAATTGAGGACAGTATATTATTAGTGAACCACAATTAACAACATGATAAGTTGATATGCAGAGTGGAATATTGCATCATTTGTCTGTGTTTATACTAACACCACTCACTATATTCGTGGTGGTGAATATTGTTGACATCATTTTTTAAGATAAAGATAAGATTATATCATAAAATATTAACAATACTTACGACATCATTGAAAATATAAGATGAGCAAATATAATCTATATTTTAAATTCAAACCCATGATTTTTATTTTAACCGGGTTCATTGGAATAATTAATTAGACAAATTGGAGCATGGGATTGGAATAAACAATTGTGGCTGGCTTTGTTCGAGTTGAACGTTTCAGAGCAGCCAAAAAGATCTGTGAGTGACGTGGATGCCACCATTTTGTGGGCAGAGCACTTAATTTTATCTTCTTGGGCTTTCTCTCTCTACCTTCGGGGTTTATTACAAGATAATGGAGGTGGTCCCGGGTGTAGATTAAAGAGTTTATTATAATATTGTTTTCTCTTATTTTAAAATAAGTTTAATTAATTAATTTATAGGTGCTTAAATTATGTAAGTTATTTAAAACAAAATTTTGCACTTTAAAAATTTACAATAATGTTTCTAAGTTTTAAATTATTTTTTAGAGTCTTTATGATAGAGTTTCATTACGTTTTCGTTAAGTATAAAGTTTTAATTAATTTTTTAAAAATATTATATGGGCTAAATCATAAATTTTATCATTCGATAAATTTAAATTAATTACAAATTTTTAACTAGATCTATAATAGACAAAATATTAACAAAAACATAAATTAAAAATTACTTTCTGTTTAATAACTCACAATTTTTTAAAATACAAAATCTTATTTAATTTTTACAGTAATTTTGATTTGCAAAATAATTTAGTTTTCAAAGTTTATACTTTCTTTCTCTAAAAGATGAATATAAATTATAATTTAATTTTTTAATTAAATAAAATTAATAATAATAAATAATTATAAAAGTGACTCTTAATGGTCTATATTTTATATTTGCTTACAACTTTCCATGTCTCAAGAAACTAATTTTAAACGTGTTATTGGTTATTTTAGCATTTTGATAGGTAAAAAAAAGTTTTAGATATCAATATTATCAATTTGGAAATTTAATTAAATTTTTTATTTCATCTTCTAGAATTTACGATTAAAAATAAATGTATAAAATTTTATATTAATCATGTTAAGAACCATTTACAGAAGACAAAAATCTATAATATCTATTTATGTTTAAAAAAACTCAAATATAACATATATTAATATTTTAAACATATTTTGTAAAATAAGAAAATAAAAGTGTAATTAAAGTATCTCTTAGAAAAAGAAAGGAAAATAATTACTCCAAACTGAAAAACCGAGTAACGAGCATGTGCAAAGAAAATTGAGCATTGTCAGAGTTGCATCCTTGATAATTTTCTTATACAAACACAAACTCCCGTTTAATTGAATAATGGTCTCAGATTAATGTCCTCTTTATTTTAGTTGCATGGGACCTAGACTTAGATAATCTTACGTTATAACATTAACAAAAACAGCAATGCCGTGTACATTGCATTGATATCAAATTATCAACCATCTTTTCGAGGGCTCAAACTACCCTGATTTAATGGCAAGATAATATATAAAATATGATATG